AACAGTGTTGGTAGCACACTGCTTTCCCCTCCTGAGGCGCCACATGGTGGGCCAGAGTCTCCTTAAAGCCATACGGAAATCTTGCTCGATGGTCTCACTGAACTCTTCCACGGCCTTGCCTTCGCGACCGCCCAAGCCCCATTCCACTTGGCCTGCCGGTACCCATCAGCTGCCTCTGGAGGCCAAAAAGACCTTGTAGGACTCTTTCTCCAGCTTGACGACATCCCTAACTGTCGGTGTCCCCCAGTGGGTTCAGGGATTGCTACCACGACAGGTACGATGACCCTGCGGTTGCAGATCTGGTCAGCCGCCTCGACGTCATACTTCTGATTTAGTCACATTAACAAAAAAAAGGGAATCTATTAAACCTCTGACAAGGTTTTACTTTTTTTTTAGTTTGTTGACTTCATCGTTGCTGTTCACGAGGGAAGAGCAGGCAAATCCAACACTTCACAGAAAACTGTGTTCCATGATGGCCACTGATGTTAAAAAGTGTATAGCTATTCCAGAGGCATATATTTTCCTTCTTCTTCTCTGATCCGGTGAGACCAAAGGTATCAGAAGCCACGCTGCCTGCAGAACACGATGAACACTTTTTATTCATTATTCTTCAAAGTTTTAGATCTATGTTTCTTAGGTTTTGGCCTGGGGGCTGGAAAGGTTTCTCTTTTCTCTCCCCCCCCCCCACACACACACACACACACACACACACACACACACACACACACACACACACACACACACACACACACACACACACACACACACACACACACACACACACACCACTTGGAGTTGGTATTTATCAAGAAAACATAATTAAATATATGAAATGCTTAAACTTTTTTAAAGCTCCATTGATGCCTGCTTCCAGATTTTGTTTGGATTTTTTTAAAAACATTTTATACCCTGTCCTTTTTAACACTTAAACATGTTCTAAATAGTTTGATACCACCTGAAGTACAGATCTTTTTAGGAGAGTTATTCTGTTTCATCATTCTGATTTCCAATTTCAGGTGGCATACTGCCATCTGTTGGTCAACATTTTAAATTCTGTTTGACATGTTCTTGGTTTTTACAGAGTACTTGGATCATAGCTTGTCCTGTGAGTGGATATATATACATTTGGCTTAGTGAAAAAAGATGTTTAAAAAGTCCTACAGGAAAATATGGTGATTTTAAATATAAACAACTTCTAATCCATATCTGACATGAATACTGGAGTTTACATGTTTCATCTACACAAACCTTAAAGATTAAACACAGGTTAAACCCTATATAACCCTAACCTTAGGCTGCATACAGGCCAGACAGAACATTTTATACATTTTGTATTATGAGGAGGCAGACTGTTCTCATGAAGCCTCAAGCTGCTGCAGTGACTTTATTCTCCACATTTCAGATAAACATGTCCATGATCACGTGTTACCTGTAGTTGTTGACAGCTTTTATTCTCTTTCAGCCTTTCAAAATTCAGCAGTATGCTCTCTGCTGTAGCACTTTTTTTAAACATTGCACTCATGTGACAGTTTGACAGGAAATGTTTTTTTTTTTCACTCCAGGCTGTTAGTCTTGCCAAAATCACCTTACTGAAGAGGAAAATATGAAGACAAGCAAAACGCATCAACTAAGTTTGTCCATTTTCACAATATTTTAAAGGGTGAACTCAAATCTTTTGAAATGGGTTTCAGTGGAAAAGTTATAGATGATTCATCTTGTTGGTTGTAGATGGCTATTAGCCTAAAAATCTAGACAAACTGTAACAGTAGCAAAATATTCCGCCCTGCAGGTCGGTCTAACCATGCTCCAATGTAGCACCAGCTGGTCTACCATTGGCCTCAACAATTGTAATTTGGACCAATTGATGATCTTTGTTTGTAGAACGAGACTGGACATAAGAGCTGCAACTAGGACTGAAACGAGTCTTCAATGATTCGAACGGTTCGATTAATTAAATTCTTTGATTCTTGTTTTACTGATTTGAAGCGTTGTTAAATGTGCGTAACACTGTCTAAACACATTTTACAGGCACACAGTGTGGTAATCTAGGTGCTGTGGAGGAGAATAGAGAAACCAGCAGACACAACCCATTGTAAAAGGCAGAAATGGTCCGAAGTTTGGGTTTTGAGTGAAACTACGAGCAGAAATGCTAATGCTAAGCTAGTGTGTAACATGCTCAATCAAATGGGGTTCAGAAACAAAAAAGATAGTTGTGAATAACTAAAGTCTACAAGTGAAACAAAACTACCCACCAGTGCTACAGCACTATAATGGAGCAGAGCCGCAGCGGCTAACTGGAGTCTAGTTGTTGCTACGAGTCTGCTCCACAAACCGCAGCAAGGGTATGGTAAGCCATTGTAGCTTGTAATTGAATAACACTTCTATATTTAATACAATTTAGACTGGGTTATGTTGCCAACCCGTCCACAATAAAATATATATGTCACCATTACATTGTTACCATTAGAAATGACTGCTCCACTGCTCCTTTCTGATGCAACATTCAAAAGTTATTAAAATAGCCACAAGAAAGACCTTTATGAGCTCATTTGTTTTAAAACAACAGCAATTAACTTTGGAACTGGTAATGTTGTGACTAGCTGTTAGCTCATTAATCCAGTCAAATTAAGGCTTTACAAACACCTATCTACAACTAATAAGATATCAAATAACTTTTATATAACAAATCCACTTCAAAATATGACTAATTACAACATTTTATATAATTTAAATATACATTTATATATTAACTGATTAAGAATGTGAGGAAAGAGAACGAGAACATAAACAAGAAAGAGGGAAATCAGTGGATCCTGGAAAAGGTAGAATTGGTAGAAAGAACAGAATAAGGAGAGAGTGGTGATGAAGGTCACACCACAGCCTGAACAGGTGAGTCTTCAGCTGCTTTTTAAAGGAGACCACTGAGTCCACTGATCTCAGACTCAGAGGGACAGAGTTCCAGAGTCTGGGGGCCACAGCAGCAAATGACCTTTGGTCTTTAGCCTGGTGTGCTGCACAGCCAGTAGGCTTTGATCACTGGACCTCAGGGACCTGCTGGGGGTGTAGGGACTGAGAAGATCTCAAATGTATGATGGTGCTTGTCCATGTAAGGCCCTTAAAGACCACGGGCCTCATTTATCAAGCTTGCTTACGCACAAAATGGGGTCGGAAAACTGCGTAAGCAACTTTCCACACAAACTTTGGGATTTATAAAAGAAAACTTAGCGGAAAAATGTGCGCAACTTTAAATTGACTAAGGACCTGGCTTACACACACATGTTGGACATGGAGAACACCTGCAGTGCTGCTGCTGAGAAGGATAAAATTATGAAATCCTGCAGCATTATCACTTGTACTGCTTCGTTTTCACACAGAACAAGACCCCCCCACACACACACACACGTGCGCACACTCACCCCGGCTTTCCACAGGAGCCGTCAGCAGCACGTTACTGCAGCAGCACGTCATAGCTGTTGATAGGAACCGCTGTGGTCAACAGAACCTTTTCCACTGGAGCCGTTAGCAGCGCGAGTCGGCCGCGTCTCAGGAGCAGCATGTCGCGGCCTTTACGCGCCGGTTCTATTTTCTACGCGCGACACCTCTGAAACAGGTCCATTTCGACATTTTTGGGGAAGGAAAGACAGGAAATCGGACGCGGAAATGGAGAGAAGCTCTCGAGATTTTCAGAATAAAGAACGTACTGCCTTCCGGTTGCTTTACTTTTAAAAAACGTTACTAACTGTGCGGCCCCGTGAGAAGTTATCACATAGCTAGCGGTCTCCTTTGTTTTTCAGGTCCGTATTGGCGATTATAAAACGGACAGAACATAAAACACAAACCATGTTGTAATTTTCTCCTGCTTGTTGTTGTGTTTACTGACAAAGTCACTCGTGTGACTTCGTGCTCTGTCGGTGACAGCTGCTCCCCTGCTGCTTCGCGTCTCGTGGGAAGGGCCAAGCAGCAGCTAGACGTGCTGCTGCAGTAACGTGCTGCTGACGGCTCCCGTGGAAACCCGGGGTCACACACACAGCCTGAAGCGCAGAATACAGAATGCAGAATATCAGCAGCAGGACAGATTGAGACAGAATGTCATGCGTCTGTGACAGTGTGTGTCCTGTCACTGTGACACTGTGACAATTTCTGCTTGTGAAATTGAGCTTCCTTGATCTGCCTTGATCTACGGTCGCCATGTCATTGGCGGAGCGCTGCAACAGCCGGCTTATTTATGTGCATGAGATCCACAAGGCACTTTGCATTGACTATTTATGGCAGTAAGTAGGCGTGGTGAGGGCGGGATGTGACTAAAATGCAGTTGAGAAACATTCTCGTTAGTCTCCGATTTATGAAGCGGAGATTGCGTGCAGCTGTGCGTACTCCATGTTTGATAGATCATAAACCTACTTGGTGTAAGTACATTTTTTTTGCTGAGCTTAAGTACGGTTTTAGTAAGGATTCTACGCAGTGTTTGATAAATGAGAACCCAGAACCAGGATCTTGAAATGAACCCTGAAGTTGACTGACAGCCAGTGAAGCTGGAGAAGCGGGGTGATGTGGGTGTGTTTGGAGGACTTGGTCAGAAGCCGAGCACAGGCAGAATGGGACCCAGCTTAGCAATGTTCCTGAGATGGAAGAAGGAAGAGCGAACAAGAGAACTGACATGAGAATCCAGGGTGAGAGCTGGGTCAAAGGTCGCACCAAGATTCCTGACAGAGGGTTTGGTGTGAGAAGAAAGCTGACCAAGAGTCTCAGACTTTGGGAACCAGCTTGTCTGGCGAACAGATGAGGATCTCAGTCTTAACTTCATTCAGTATCTTCAATGATGTGTGCTACTTGTCCATTAGGGTGTCCGCTTGTTCTAATATGGTGCCTTCACATTGAAACATCCAAAAGAAGGACTTCATAACATGACAGCTAGATTTCGAATAAAGTAAGTGGTACTAGGTAAACCAGAATAAAATTAATCCCTTTATGAAGGAAGGTGTAGATTGTGTGTTTCATACCTGGCAGTGAGGATGTGGATTTGAACAGCCCATCATAGCGCCTTTATTCTCAAAGATCTATGAAGCAGAAGGAGGGCAAGTTAATTCAATGTGTAGCTAAGACTTTAACCCATTTTGTCACCAACCAGGTTTAAAATAAAAATATTTCAGAGAACTTTCTACATCATTTAGTTAAGTTAGTTTAATTCAGCAACTATGATGCAGTGACTGATTGGTAATAGCATAAATTGATGTTAGGATTTTACATTTATTTTAACCAATTTTCAACCTATAAAGATGTATCCAAATCCAATAGAAGACATTTTAAATGGTGAGATGCTGAGAAAAAAAAGCATGGCAATTCTGTTAGAATAAGATAGACATCGCTGGGAGGATAATTGGATTAGCAGAGAGAAAATGGCCAGGATTGAGCGTGTGTATTCTGTACCTGAACCCAAGGGTATGTAGCACCCAGATCCTCTAAAAGCTCCGCCCACTTGTCAATCACCTTGACAACTTCTTGTCTTTTCATGAGAGGGAGGGTGATGTCAGACCAGGGATGAAAACACATGACCTTACTGGAGGAGGTAGAGAGCAATAGAGTTAATGAGAATGTCATACAAGATTAAGATAAATTATGAAAAAAACTTTAAGGGATTTTAGAGTTTGGGATGTTAAAATACAAAAATATATCCATTTCATTTACTCTAACAAAAAGAAATATTGAATAGCTTTTTTTTATTACCAGTATCTAGTCTTGAGTCATCCCTCGGTCCTTAATGACAGAGGTGACTAAAGAGACTTTTGATATCTTCAAACTGTCTTTGTAGGGAAACCAAAATATCTTGTAATGATTTATTTTCATCTGTCTACCCATTCATCTATTCATCCATCCTCAATTGGGTCAAAGCAGTAAAAGGTCCAAGAGGGAAGCCCCAACATTCCCCCACCCCAGCAATGCTCTCTAGCTCTGTCTGGAGGATCCCTCATTCAGACCACAGACGACATATCCAGATGGATCTCAGTCTGATTCAGGATCTCCGTCCAGTGTGGCATTCCAGCAAAAACCTCCAGAAGGTGACCGGGATTCTTCCCAAACACCACAGCTGATTCCTTGCGATAAGGAGGAGGAGGAGCAACAGCAGCAGCAGCTCTACACCATGCTCCCTATGATGGACCTCCCCACCTTAGCTCTAAAGCCTAGTTTATGCATCTGCAACAAAGTTGTCCATGTTAAAAAAGTCTCTGAAAAAAATGTATAAATAAAAAATAACACAATAGTAAATTCACTATCTTGGACCAGATACATGTCAGGATACAGAACAGCGCTACGCCCTCTGTTGTCCTGGCGGGGAATTGCTTTGCAACACTCACTAAGAGACGGAGAAGTACGAGAGCAAAATGTCTCTGTCAATGTGTGTGTGTCTCTCCCTTGTAGAGCTGACGGAGAAGCATAAAGTAGGCTTAAGGCTGAGCCCGGCCAATCAACAGAGGATGTTAATCTTATTATTTTGGTCATGATCCAAAACTCTAAATCACAGGTAAGGTCTGGAGCATAGACCAGTAAATCAAAATCTCTGTTGCCCACTACAAAAGACCAGAGCAGCAGATTCATTCCTGAAGATGAAGCCTCTACCTCTCACTTCCTACAATCACTCCAACTCCACTTAAACTTGTCTTCTGAAAGCAAAGATTCACTCCCAACCCAGAGGGAGAGTCCCACCTCAGAGTTTCTGAACTGCTTAATAACGAACAACTGTGCAAAAAAAGATTACAAGAAAGGATGGCTCTTTAAAAGCAAACCAACCTTAAGGTGATAAGCCCAAGCTACTAAATATATACAATACATACAAATACAATATCACGATATATTGAGGATTTCACCTCGATAACGACAAAAGGACGATAACTACAGGTATGTGCAGAAACAAAAGTTGTCCACTAGAGGAGGCTGTCACATGTATTACGTTGAGTCACATTATTACGCGACTCAGGTGGTACAGCTTCTTAAAGGGATACGAACGTTGCCAGCCTACACACATCTTTTCATTTTTTTAATTAACAAATTTATTGACATGGGAAAAATTATCTCGATAAGAGTCAGAAATTTTGATAACGATACATTTTTTATTTATTGCCCAGTCCTAACAAGCAGTTCTAAAATTGTAAAAGCAAATAAGACTTTTTCAGGAAATAAAATATGACACAGGCAGCCAGTAGAACAATAAATCTTCTGAAGATTACCAGGTCCCTAATTTCAAACAGACCTCAAAATGATTAGAGAATTATATGCCTAATATAGAGGTTCCATGTACTTTAGCCAGTGAAAAACCTTTTTTGCCCTTTTCTTGGTGTTTCACCATATTTGGTCCAATAATTGTGTTTACATTCAGACATCTCCTCCATCTGTCTCCTCTTGTACTGTCTGCTACTCTTGGTGTGTCTATTATTCATCAAGATTGCTCTGTTGTTGGTCTGGTTGTGATTAATAATTAACCAGCGCACTTCTGGTGCCATTGATCTTTTTGACTCGGTTAAATTGATCATCTGCGAAAGGGCTGTTTTTTTCACGACTGGTGTGAAGTGAAATCACGAGACTATCCAGAGACCACCTGTCAAAAACAGCAGCATGTCTAGTCTGAGAACCCTATTTTTTTCAGGGGAGTTTGTTGTCAAATCATTGGTTGGTGCCATTTTGAGGATTGACAAAAACAAAATACTTCATTTAGATGAAAAGTTTACATTTTGATTTTTCTTTTTACTGGTTTAGATTAATGTGATTTGTAAATCCCATTGAAACCAGAAGTGGCAGCTACAGGTGGAGTTAAGACATTTAGTACAAAGTTGTAATGAATCAAGAAAACAGAACTGGCAAATATTGCATAGTTATGTTTTCTTTTTCAACTGAAGTAAATCTGTTGAAACTAGGGATATGCCAATATGAAAGTATGGGCTGATATCCAATACTGCCATTATAAACAATGTTTACTGATATTTTGCTACACTTAAAATGTGTCCAATTTTGTCCAATCGGAAGGTTGCAGGTTCAAGCCCCGCTCAGTCTGTTGCTGTTGTTGTGTCCTTGGGCAAGACATTTAACCCACCTTGCGTGCTGGTGGTGTTCGGAGGGACCAGTGGCACCTGTGTACGGCAGGCTCGCCTCCGTCAGTGTGCCAGGCAGCTGTGGCTACAATGTAGCTCATCACCACCAGTTGTGTTGTAAAGCACATTGGGGGTTCCAAGACTCTAGAAGGCACTATATCAAATGCAGGCTATTTACCATTTACATTAAAGAAACTAAGAACTTGGCCAACTGAAACTGCGTACCACTGTCTGAACCACTTTGTAGAGATTAGATATTAGTAGATTCACTGCATGTCCTTAATGCCTCTTTGAGTTTAAGAAAATGTTGTGTTAGCGCACGTGTTTGCTCTCCGACTGCAGCACATAGACAAACAGTTGCGACTGTCAGAGTCAAATGCATTAAATGTCTATTGACAATCAGACTCTTCGGGGACAGAGACAGAAAGTATACAGGATCAATAATTGAACATAGCTTTGGTGTTTATGCTGTGAGCAATAAATGGTTGTATATATGAATTGTTCATGAGACAGACTTTACAGTAGCTGGAAGCTCTCAATGTGTCTCTTTAAATTTTCTAGTCAGACTCTACAGAACAAATGTTACCCTGGTGCTCAGAAACAACCAGTTCTTCATTAATAATATAAAAAACTCTACCAGGCTAAGAAAAAGCTTTTTAAAATAATGTTCCAGGACCGTTGGACGTACGGACTCTAACTGGAAATGTGGTCAAATCAGATTTCAGATTTATATATTATTTAGAAGAAATTGGTGGACCAATTTAAAATGATTAAAACAAACAAACAAAACAAACAAAAAAAATCAGGAAAAATTGCAAAAGACAACAGGCCTCCAAAGGTCATGGCCTGCTGTGCATGGTTATACTCTGCTGCCTTCAAGGCAGCATAGTTTCGTGGGACCTCCACATGCATTTTCCAAAAAATGAATAAATATTCAGATTCTGCACACATAAGGCAGGGTTGAAAAACAATGGTGTATTTGCTTGGACTACATGCATTCTTTACATGACTATAAAAACGTGAAGATTGTTGAAACTGAAGAAAATCAACAGTCACATGCATGTTTGCTAAATGTTTTCTGGCAGAAAAGAAAAAAAAACCTGGAGTTACCTTGTTTGGATGTTTGGTTTATCTGATTACCAGGACATGCTTGAAGAGTTGTGCACAAAATTCTGTGAAATTACAAAGTGGTAAACACATTTTTATGCCAACTTCTCCTGGAATGTCATATACATTTAGAAACGAAGGTATATGGATGATTTTTTTTTGTTGAAAATTTTATATTTTCTCTTTTATGAAATTACTGTATTTTCCGGAGTATAAGTTGCACCAGCCATGAATGAAGAAAAAACATATAAGTCGCACTGGACTATAAGTTGCAGTTTGGGGGGAAATTGTATTATTTTTCTTACAAAATCTGAGACCAAGCATTTCACTTTGCAAGACAAGTACCGGTAACAATAACAGAATAAACAATCAGGGTGCAGCAGCGCGCCACTGTCTCCAGCAGAGGATGGCGGAGTTTCAAAGCCTCCCAGCGGGCGGGGAGAGTGCTCGCAGCACCTCACCACAGGCTACAGCAGGTGATGGCGGTGTTTGAAACCCTCCCAGCGGGGCAGAGGAGCTGAAACCTGGACCGGAGCTGGCCCGCAGCAGCGCGCAACGGTCTCCAGCATGTGATGGCGGGGCAGGGGAGCTCATTCCTGGTCCGGAGCCGGCCCGCAGCAGCATGGTATACATAATTTGGTAAATAAGTCACTTTGGTATATAAGTCGCAGGACCAGCCAGACTATGAAAAAGAGTGTGACTTATAGTCCGGAAAATTCAATTCAATTCAAAAATACTTTATTAATCCCAGAGGGAAATTAGACGGTAATCAAATACGGTAATCAAAATAAATATAAGAATCTACTCTGAAGAAGACACATCCAGTGTCGAAACGTTAGTTTCTTTTTTACTTGCACCGAACAAACCTTTGCTCACCTGAGAGCTCCAGTCTTCCCGTTTTTGATTCTAAGCGTCCATTGGCTGTGCAGCACCATTTGTGAGTGCATGATGCGCAAAGGGCTCTGCTCTTTATCCTACTCTAAAGTAAGGTTGTATTTAAGTCCCGTTTAAGAAAATTATCTAATTATAGCACTATAAGCTGACCTTTCTTAGAAATCAAAGCAATGGGAAAGAAAAATTAAGCATTACTAAATCTTTTGTCACAGCAGTGCTGATAGGGAGCATATAACTGAGGAAGGGTGATACAATAAATCTTCAGTAACTGTCTTATCTTTCCCCTAAACTCATTTCTCTTTTGTCTCTCGTGACCCAGATCCTCAAAATCCTGTTTCCTGTGTTGTTTTTTTCCTCCACTAATTGGCTCTGTGGATGTAGCTGCAAGCTACAGTTTAGCTTCACAGTTCCCTTCTCTTAAATATGGACACAACTACATGAATAGAGCGAATGCAAAAATAAAAAGAAAAAAGAGGAAAACAAAGTCTGTACCAATTCTAATCAAACACAGATATCGTATTAGGAAAAACACACGGGCTCACTTACAGCTAGATTGAATCAGGCTGAAAGACAAACACCGAACTGTGAAAGTCAACACAAAGACGGCAGAAACTGTCAATCACGGCTGTTTCAGTGCTTTTTACAATGAGTGTGGCAAGCTGTACCTGACAGCCGCTACATCTGCCAACACGGGGGAATTAAACCCACAGTTCAGTTCTCAACCAGCACATTCAGTGCAGGGGTTTGATTTAATCTATTATTCAGTTGTTATGCAACTCTGCTGTCAGGCAGAATCATCCACGTATTCCCAAAATACAAGATTGCAGTGGAATTTTATCTACAGGCAGACAATCATAACTTCACAAGATGGGAAAAAAAAAAGAAAGAAATAATGTGAGTGGTCTTTGTCCGTTCTTGTAGTCATAAAAATCTGCTCTGTAATCCGTGGCGGGCTAAAATGATAGGAAGGTCAGAGCAGGAGCAAAGGAACATCGTATTTGCAGGGTCTTGGTTTCTCCAGATGATGAACTGTGCCTCTTAATACTTCTTGGATTAAGTGTCACATAGGTGCACACACAGCTTGAGGATTGAGGTAACTCGTTTTCTTTATGGGCACAACACTATATCAAGTCAGCAATCAATAAATATAATTAAAGCAACAGCTTCAAGTGGCTTCAGGAAAAGCAACATTTTAGACATTTTTTATTTCAGACACTTCAGTGTTGGATGATGCTAAGCATCAGTTACCAGTGAGAGAGCTCCATCTGTTGGCAGCTTGAAGTCCTACATTCTTAACATTAGTATTTTTGTGATTGTTTGGGTCTAATGGTGACTAATCCTGGTCCATAAGAGTCACTATCCTGTATGGTTTAATTGTTTCTCTACTCCAACACAACTGATTCAATTATTTAATTATTTGATCAGCATCTCATCAGGCTCTGCAGAAGACTTTAAATCCTCCACCTTATAAAACCAGGTGTGTTGGAGCAGACAAACTTGCCACTACAGTTTTATGGTGAGTTCAAGATTCCCTGACAATAGACGGCATGAAGCAACCATAAGGCAGTGTCATTGGACAAGACACTTAACCCACCTTGCCTGTTGGTGGTCGAAGGGGCCGGTGGCGCCAGTGTTCGGCAGGCCTCACCTCTGTCAGTGAGCACCCCGGCAGCTGTGGCTACAATGTAGCTCATCCAAGTTTTTCATGTTTTACTAGTGGTTTTTAGTGGTTGAAGGTTACAATACTAGCTTACTGCCTATATGTACATATAAAAATGTACCTTTGTTATTGTGTTTCTTCAAATGAAGTGTTGGTGCTGCTGTAACAAGTGAATTTCCCCACTTTGGGATTAATAAAGTCTATTCTATTCTATTCCATCACCACCAGTGTGTGAATGACTGATTGTGTTGTGAAGCACCTTGGGGGGTTGTAGAACTCTTAACCCCCAAATTCCACTACCTCCGCTCCGCCCCCGCCTTCCGCAGCCGCTCGCTTCCGAACTCAATTTTTACTGGTACCCGCTCTACAACGGCTCCGCTCCGGTGCGGAGACCTGAGGTGCGCAAACAAGCATGCGAAAGATTTTCGAGATCTTGCGATACAGTCCGAGCAATAAACACGGAAGTTAGATCCAAACACCCGTTGTGTGGGAGAAGCATCGAAATGAACTGTTTAATCTGCCCATCATTTGTGTTGAGAGATCAGCAGTGTTTGGATCAACAAAGTGTGACTACTTTGATAGTGGAAACTGTATTTATGGCTTACTTTTGTGCATTTAAACTTCAGCCGCCATTGATAGTTGTTAAAAGTTGTTAAACCTGTGCATATGAAACAAAAAATGCTTTTTGTTTATCGATTTATTGTGAAATAACGGAAGCTGTGCTCCCTTTCCTGTTGGGCGGTTGTGATTCCTGTCCACTGACTGCGGACAAGCCGGACGCCGGAACAGAGGGCGCCGCACTGCCGCAGCACGGCCGCAGTAGTGGAATTGCTCTGATTGACTACAACGGGACCGATTTTGCTCCGGAGTTCATGCCGGAGCAGAGCGGAGGTAGTGAAATTTGGGGGTAAGAAGGAGCTAAACAAATACAGGCCATTTACCACTAATAAGAATGTGTCATAATTTTGAAAGGAACATTGAAATGCAGACATCAACATGGTTCAAGTGAATCAGGCCTTTTTAGCCAACTTGAAGCAAAGAGACTGGTAGAAATGTTACTTTGATTTGTTGAGAACTATGGTTTTATATAACCAACGGCCAGCTAGGGATGGACATAGCAAAATACACTGCCTAACCAAAAGAAAATTTACCACCAAAACAAGTTACACACTCTGGTTTGTTGGACCACCTTAAGCTTTGATTACAGCACACATTCACAGTGGCGTTGTTTTGATAGGCCACTGCAATGTCACCAGATCTATCTCCATCCAGTGTTGCATTAATGTGTCACCAAGACCTTGCATTGATGATGGTAGAGTCTGACCGCTGAACAGTCTTCTCCAGCACATCCCAAATATTCTAAATGGGGTTAAGGTCTGGACTCTGTGGTGGCCAATCCATGTGTGAAAATGATGTCTCGTGCTCCCTGAACCACTCTTTCACTATCTGAGCTTGATGAATCTTGGCGTTGTCATCTTGGAATATGCCCATGCCATCAGGGAAGATGGAATAACCTGATCATTCAGTATATTCAGGTAGTTAGCTGACCTCATTCTTGGAGCACATCCTGTTCCTGAACCTAGACCTGACCAACTGCAGCAACCCCAGATCATAGCACTGCCTCCACAGACTTGTACAGTAGGTAGTGATGTTATGCTCGAGTGGGCAACTCAACTGTTGTATCGATCTTTCAAATCAGAAGTGTCTGCAAAGACGTGCCGATGCCTCGCTTCACTGTGCGTGTGACCAAGTGACTTTTTTACCTGCTTCGTGTCAGCCTTGAATTCAGGGCGAGGAGGTTAATATGGTTAGCGGCAGAAATGTTTCTTTAAAGAATCTTAACAATAGACATTATTAATGTCCATGAGCTTTACAGTTTCTCCATTAATCTTAGGATTTACAAGTCCTAAGCAAACAGTCTCTCTGATCTCCAGTACTGTCATGATCCTGTTCCTGCCTAAGACCTGTTGCCACAGCAGCCACAGCCCGCACCTCATCAAGCTCCAGCCAAGCTGTTTCCCCAGCAACCACAGTCAACTCACCATCCACATCATCCAAACCACCTGTCTCTCATTAGCTCCTCATCAGCTCATCACACACACCTGCTCCTCCTGCTATATAACTCCCAGCCTGCTCTCCAACCGGTGCCAGATTACTGAACACGTTTTTGTTAGTAAATTCTCCAGCCTTTCACCCACCATGACTCCACGGATCCGAACCTTGCCTCGTCCTCTGACCTGCCTGCTCCTCGTGCCCTCCTGTGATTACCGCTTTGCTCCCGACCACGTCTTTGGATTTCCCCTATTGGAGTTACTGCCCCTCTGACCTCCTGGCCACGACCCTGCTCAGTCCTCGACCACGTCTCCGGATTCCCCTGTTGGATATTCAACCTCTCAGATCTTCTGGTAACGACCGCCTGTCTTCTGACCTAGCCTCTGCCTCTCCAGTCATCGCCCCTTTTCCCTCTTTAATAAACATTCTTAAACGTGTCATTCTGTGTTGGGTGTTTTTACGGGTCCGCCAGCTTGAGTATATTACAAGTACGGCCGGGGAAGGGGCTGAAGGGAGCCATCAGGGAAATGGATACAACTGATGAGCTATGAGGGGAGAAAAAAGCATCTGCAATAGTCATCCCTGTGATTAGAATGAACCTTAGGAATACAGAAGTCACCTTCTCTGACCCATCCCTGTTCATAGCAGTCCATGCCTGCAACTGTACAGTATTCTTTGCTGGGACAGTCACTACGTAACACAACTACACATCTTACATATAATATATCTAAAATTAGATTTTAAAAGACAGAAACTGACAGATTTGAATATAATTTTATTGTCACATACAATGGCCTTTTGTATTCCATGCTGATGTGATGTTTAAGTCTGGCCAGCAGATGTCACTAATTATATTGGGTTCAAGTGGTTCACAACACTGAACCATTTCAAACCATTTGCTTCATATAGTTTCATTGGTTTGGAAAGCTTTGGTTTCTCCATCACTAACAGTAGGAACTAGGCATGATGGGTGCATCATATGCCTCTCTTCTTACCCTGATGAGCCCATCATGCTGGAACAGGGTCCATCTGGACTTATCTGACCTGTTTTTAAGAAGGTGTTGGACAGTTCTAAACCCAGTGCCCATCTCCAGCTGTCTCTGGGCAAACAGGCAAGCTACAGCCTGAACAGATTGCCAGTCCATTGAAGAGTCATTGCACCAGTTGTGGTTAAATAACTTGTTGCCAGCTGAAATGTAATTATTATCCAGTAGGAGGTCTCATCACTATTTGCTTAGTTAAATCCAGGCAATGACTTTTTTTTTTTTGGCCAGGCAGTGTATCTTAATTTATAAATGTTAAGGTGTCTGGTATGTACTAATGTTCAACACTTGTCTCCAAAAACAAATTCAAATCACACTGATAGATTTTTGTTTTCGATTGTAAAACCCCAATATGCACCAAAATGGAGACTGAAGCGTCATGGTGAGGGAGAGATGCAGGTGACTCAAAATGAATCCATCCATCTATCCATCCAACCGAAACCAAATTAAAATTGGAAGGAATAGGTTGGGAAAATGGAGAACTCATTTGATATTCTCAGATGTTTGCATAAATCTGCCAAATTTTATTCATTTTATTTGTATTAGATTATTGGGATTATTAATCGCATACACATAAAACCTTTACAAAAAATAAACTTAATTGTGCTCTTACCAAACACCCCTGGCAGCTTTAGACTGAAATAGCGGGTCCTGTTCCAAACCTGGAGAACATAACAGCAATATTTAGTTGTAATGTCCAAGTAAACTAGAATGTTTCTGCGATAAATAAACTCACCAGGATCCGGGGCATCAGGCTGAAGAGCAGGGAAGTCGTTTGGAAACACAAAAGTACTGTCATAGTTTGGATTGACCTGAAAATCAAAAAATTCACATAAAGAAGTCAATAAAACATGGCTGGCCCAGGGGTGATCCATGTGTGGTGTTTGGTGCATATGTCCAGAAAAGACTATATGTAGAAAAGTAAATGACTGTTTAAGAATTAGATCATTATTTTGTAACAAACAATAACTTTAAATGATAAATTACATACACTTGAATAGTGCTTTTCTAAGTCTGAGGACTCCAAAGTGTTCTACACTACAATGCATCATTCATCCATTCACACACTGATGATGTGCTGCCCTGGGGCTCACTGACAGGTGAAGCTGCTGTACATAGACATCAATGGACCCTACGACCACCACCAGCATGAGAAGAAGAAATGTTTAGTGTACCAAAAGCCACTTATCGAGAAATTAAAGACAACATGAAGAGAACATTCAATAAAACAAACTTGGATTGTTGCTTTTTTTTGTCTTACTTCTCCATTTGCTCTTGGATTCCCAGGACAGAGAGGGTTGTGGGGATCGTGTCTAGGGATCTGCTCTTGTGGAGGTTTTTCCATCTGACCAGCCCAGGGTCTCTTCATACGGTGGGCCGAGACCAGGACCCAGCTGTCTCGCAGTGGGTTGTAACGCAGATGCTGGTGCTCTGGTGTTTACAGGACATGGAGTATCACCAAAAAAGATGTTAAAAACATTGCTAGGGCTTTTTATTTCTTTGTCTTTTTTTCCTTGTGTAAAATCCCATCATAAAGTATTCTTCAATTATCAGTGAGCTTCGTTTTAACAACACTAATGTTTCATATCAGACGCTTTAGGATTCCTACTTTTCACAAGACAGGTGACCCATTCAAATCAGATGTTATGAAGCCAAGGAGCCTCTAAAAAGGGCAGAAGAGTGTACTATTTGAGTAAAAATTACAAAACATCTCTTTTTGTTAAACAGTTTTTTTATTATTTGGTGCAAAAAGCAGAAAGTTGGTATCAACTTTTGATCATCATGCACACAGCCCCACTACATTGTCATTGGACATTGTCATTGTCCAATCTTGGTCCTACAAGGACCACAAGGATCACCATCCTGCATATTTTAGGAGTTTCATGGCTTCATAACATCTGATTTCAATGGATGGATAATTAACAGGCCTTTGCACAATTTGATGACAAACAACAGTAGCATCAACCACTTAGGGTGTGCTGGAGCAGGGAAGCTAAAGCAAGCTTGGTACTGCCAAAGTTTACTGAATAGTCAGCAAACCCTTACCGTCTTTGGTATTCTGACTTATCGTACCTCACTTCAATTATTGTCATCTCTCAACATTACTAAGCCAATAAGAAATAAACTACAAAGAAAGCATCAAAATGACGCTGAAGTACTAGCGTGGCTACAAGTGCAGCTGTAAACTCAGCAGGAATTCAGATCACATGATTCACAGCTGGATATTTACAGGAAAATAAACGGCAGGTTTCAGCTATGAATAATTCAACCTAAATTTCACAAACTTGCATAAATAACAAGAGTACGTTTGGAAATGCAACAACTGTAAACCTGTTTTTAAACCTAATTTCTTTCAGAAAGAATAAAGTGAACTGCTACAAAAAGAAAAGGAGACACACGTACCACTGGGGTCGAAACTAACACTCTGGTAGCCACTCATGATACGGTACTATTTAAAACCTGTAAGTTAAATCAAGTAAGCATCAGCTGGTTCCGAATGTCGATGGTTCCGAACTTTAGCTCAACTGATACCCTTAGCCCACTTCCTGTTGTCGGACGAAAGACAAAACATGCCATTCGTGTCTAATCAGGATTTTAGAATAAGCTTTTAAAAACAGATATAAATTACTAAGTTTTAATGTATATTACTTACTATGTTTTAATACATTTTACATAATATTTATTAAATATACTTAATAAGAATAACGTCAAATATAAACTTTAATTGAATTATTTTCCTGATTTTAGTGTGTACTGGCAACCCGACAGCCGCTAATATATTCAACAAACAAAGTCCGTGATTGGCTGATCGGCGGTCCTCATGACCACGTGACCAGAAACATCTCCTAGTTTAGCAACCTGCTTCTGTTCTGCCTCGTTTAATTCATGTAGCTAAACTTGCTGCTAGGTGTTCGTTTGTCTGTAGCCATGTCGTTTGTCAGAGCGATTTTAAGACTATTTGCAGTCGCCACAGTCGCCGTCCTGGTCGTGCTGTTGCTACGGTACTGGATGGCCACCAAGACGTATGTTTTCAACAAAGAAGACATCGCCAAGTTGGCGAAGCAATACGCGGGTGAGTTTGGAAGTTTGACGTTTTTGTAGACCACTCGTGCTCTAGTAGTCTAATGATCAATTTACTTTTCCTAAAATTGTTTTCAGCTCACTTTCGTCAGTGTCTTCATTCAAATGTGTTTATTCCCAGGGCAAGACCATGAGCAGGCGTTCTCCAAAGTGGTATTGGAGCTCAGAAAGAGGTGATTTTGCTTCAGCATGTTTTCAGATACAAACCAAGGTGATCCGGAAAAAATACTTGTTGTTTTAGTCAGAATAAGAATAATAGACTAATTTTAGCCATTTTCTAACTAGTTCATCATATTGGGCTCTCCACTGCTAAACTTACGACTGTGCATGCGTTGATTATAAGTTAAATCGTTTCATTTTCACCTATACTTTTAATGTGTCGAAAGGCCGTACAATCAGTTCGTTCACGTTGAACACTACTGTATTGTGCAAGTTCACACTTTGAAGAAGCCAGGTCAGCAGTTCACAGATGTTTGTGTTCATAGTTCATCCAGAACACGTTCTGAACTAGATGCAATGTTCCGAAATGAATCCTTATTCATTTACCAGTAATAAGATAAATTAGATTTAAAATACATTCAGAAAGATGGCATGCATTTTGATTATGGTATTCTATCGGCTATTTAATCATAATAATAGTAATAAAACTATAACAAAGTATATGTATTTGTTTAGGTTTTTTTTCTTCCATCTGTAATAGGTGCAATTCTAAAAGTCAGGAATCAGATCAGACTCTTGCGTAGAGATTAAGTTCCTGGTGCCTCGTTTAAACTAGAGCCATGTCCAAGATTAAACGTGTGGCTCCAGATCAGATTCTGCTGCAGAGAAAAAATAAAAGACTGGTGAAGAAAGCTGAAGGATTATAATCTAGTTGCTTCTCTCGGGTTATTAGTCCTGAACATAACAGCATCATAAGGCATCCAAATCTTCAATAAAACAGCTCTCACACTGGTTTCAGTTTTTGTTGTGGGGGAAAATAAAAATGTTCAGAAATGTTCTAGTGAATGCAGCTCATTAAGACTACAGTCTTCTAACCAAACCTCCATTCATGCATACTTGTGCTGTTAGTTCAGCTATAATTTTCAGGTAAGTCAGAATTGCTGCAGTCTTCCTAAGTTTTTGTTTTTTCTCCAGACTGCCACCACAGACAAGTCCCCACACGCTTAGGAGCCCTCAGATGCTTGATTGCATTTATTTGAATGCCCGTTGGTGCACTCCACTGATCTCTATGATAAGTTTTTTTTTTCATATAGAAACAAGGATGCATTGATGACTAATAAGTCGTATCTAAACCAGGTATCCAGGCCACATTCTGCCTGATGAAGACTTGCAGTGGGTGTTTGTGAATGCTGGAGGATGGATGGGCTCCATGTGTCTCCTCCATGCCTCGCTCACTGAGTATTTACTACTGTTTGGTACTGCTGTGGACACAGGAGGACACTCAGGTACAGGAGGATCATATATTTGTGAATGAACTCACTAATTTTAAAGCCGGCACTCAAACTTTTTATTCATTCAGATTTTTATATGATGGAAACAAGCCCTTTGATACAACTGAGGGTCTAGAAATAAATTTATTTTACTAAATTTAGTAAAATTGACTCGTGTCCTCTCCCCCTGGTTCTTCCAGGTCGATATTGGGCTGAAATATCTGACACTATCATCTCCGGCACATTCCGGCAGTGGAAGGAGGGGACTACTAAGAGTGAAATCTACTATCCAGGTAGTAAAGTAACTCGTTTTAACATGTAGTTGTCCATTTTTATATTAATTATTTGTTTTTTAATCAGTGTGTTTTTGTCTCCCTCTTACTTCCACAGGTGACTTCATTGTTCATGAAGTGGGAGAAGCTACATCAGTCCAGTGGAGCGCTGGGACTTGGATGGTGGAGTACGGAAGAGGTTTCATTCCCTCGACTCTTGGCTTTGCTCTTGCAGACACTCTGTTCAGCACCCAGGACTTTGTCACCATGTTCCACACCATACATATTTACACAAAGGCTCTGCTGCTCGAGGCCGCTACGCTCCTCACAGAGGCTGGAGTTTTCTGAAGGCTGGTGGAGGACCAGAGGCTCGCACATGGACTCAAAAGCTCCTCCTCGACTAAAATCTGGAACGAGGAGACACTCCACCTGTAGTTCAGACAATCATATTAGCAGCTAATGTTGTCCTCATTAAAAATCTGTCCTCTGTAAAGGAGGAACACAGTTCTTGTCTCAACAGGAGCGGTGAGAATTCAAACAGGTTTATCTAATTTATCCAAATCACAGACGTCCAACTTTTCATTCAGGTTCAAAACCCCAGAGGTTAGCAATGAGACTGTGCACTTTACTTTGCTCAGTAAGTATTCTGAGGGCTTAGACTGCCTCCATAGTCACCAAGGTCTTCAATGTATTTAAAAAAATAATACACCTGATATTAGAATCTGGCTTAAAATAAATACCCTAGGCCTTACAGCTTCTGTGGTCAGTGTGAGATTATTCTGAGAATAACTTGGTTTATGCAACCAAAGGTGGAAACATGTTAGTTTTCAGCAACTTTCACAAGAAAATGCAATGCAAATGCTGTAAACATTGATTTAATAAAAAAAATTATGCATTTGAAATGCAGAAATCGTTATCTAAATGACTTGTTTAGATGCATGTGGATTCTCTGTAACTGAGAATCTTGTAGAAACTGCCATCAGAATCTGTCTTTAGCCGTCTTAATATCAGAAACCAAACCAGCAAACTGAAGTAAAGCAAAAGTTTTTACTCTGACAGCAGATTTTAGTATTTGGTTTTACTTCCTTCTATCCATTGATCTTTTTTTGATTAAGGCAAGTTTTGAGTTCAGAAGAGTGTATGGTGAAATATCATTTTCCTTCAGGTACTGTTGGTAAATAAACTTTATACAACACCCCTCAAAATAAAAACCTCAAGGTGCTTCACGATAAAAATATAGGCAAACAACACAAAACGTGTATCTTTCTTTGAAACTGTTGGTACAGGTCCAGTACATAATGACACTATCCTAAAAGATCTCAAAGAAATGTCTAAAAGTGTTTGGGCAGAAAATAAAACTATGTTCACTTCTAAATATTTAGCAAAAATGAAATGCACTTTTGTTGTCTTGATCGTAGAAGGCCTCTAACAAAACTGCCTTACTGTGAGAACCATTATTTGGACAACCTGTGCCAGATAGAATAAAATATTTTGCACTAATGCAAGCACGTTGTCATTGTTTATATGTATTTGGTATGTGCAATTAGATGTTTTATAGTAACTGGGATCTGTCTGAAATAAATGTCCTTTGCATGCCTATTTATCAAGCAGCAATAGATAAGGGGTTAATTGATTTTCATGCCTGCTTTTTATATTACATTTATATTTATTTTTTCGATAGATAAGAATTATTTGTTTATTCATGCCAGTTGAATAAATTCAGGACAGGTGTGCAAAGCTACATGTATGTCGATAGTGCAAAGTTATCGAAAAACAGTTTCCGCCCTCTTGTGGAGATGTTAAGTACTACATGCATTTTTTGATTCGTGATTCAAAAATGTTAATTGCTGTTTGTCAGCGGTTCCAAATTTCGCCAGTTCAAAGTTATAAGAGAAAAAGGTACTGTTCTTTATTCTCTTGTGTGAATAAAATACTGTTCACATTGCAAAACCATTTTAATCATTTTGTGAAAGAGCTAACATCTATTTTCCAAAACTCTGCATTTGATTTTATCAAGAAACTTCATATCTGATGTTGTAGATTATAAAACAACTGAATGTGTTCCACCAAAACTGAAAACAGCTGTATCCACATATTACATCAGTCCTGTCGTTAGCAGACCACACGGTATGCATTTTCTACGGAAAGCCAGAGAGGACATTCTGCACAAAAGTAAGTACTAAGTTGCGTATCCTTCCAGAGACAGTCTCAACACACCTTTATAATAAAGATGGAGCTGTCTTATCAGTCGATGAAAATTGCTCATCAAACTCGAGAAACCGTGAGTAAGCAAAGGGCTTTATTCATTTTTATTTTATTTTTTTGTAGTTCCAAGCTTAATTTAAAACATTTTGGCGAGCTAACCACCTGAAGCCGACTAGCTAGCACGGATGAGCGACACAAAGTAATAAACATCACTGTTTATATATTTTTGGACCAAATTCATATTTAAAAGCAAAAATACCATCACAATTGCTTAAATATGCTATTTCAATCACTCGGCTGCTTGTAAACTGTCGTCAACCAAAGTTGTTAAGCTAATTATGCTAGTTTTCGTGGATTCATAGGCAAAGTAAGCCAGCGTCCTCTTGTTGCTTAGATACCGGGTCACGTGTTTACTGTTTGTGTGAATTTGTCTCCCTCTGCTGGTAGAGTTGTTGACTAACCACTTTAAAGTCTAACATACTTGGAATCAATACATTAGATGTGGATTTTTTTATGTTGGGTAATAAAATTATGAGTAATATGATAATTCAATTCAAAAACACTTTGTTAATCCCAGAGGGGTTGCTGTAGTAGCTCAGGATAACAATGATAATAATAATCAAGTCATCAAAGAGTTATTGTATATGTTGGCAGGAAGGATCTCCAGTAGCAGTCAGTGTTGCAGCGAATCTGAAGAAGCCTCTGACTGAAGACACTTCCGTTGTCGGACAGTCTTGTGAAGAGAATGCTCATAATATAATTAATAAAATCTCAAGCCAAGTAGAAAGTGTGATACTTTTTTTTCTGCTTAGATATTTGAGTCATGGTGCTCGTGAAATATTTCATACCAGCTCACTTTAGTCACAATTCTTTATCTGAGTCTAAAACCTGTGTTTCTGTCTGACAGGATGGGTTCAGGACTGAAATGAGGAAGAAGAGCCTTCTTGTTATGATCTACCACCACTTGTTGGGAGAGGGGTCTGTGTGCACACCATCGACATATATACCGGACAATTCGTTTCCGTTGTCTCCAATAATACATTTTTAAGCCAAAATGGGAGGTGGCCACCACCGCTATTTTGACCGTGTCACAGGTTCCGTCAAGCCTAGACAATTCCACAAAAGGGAAAAGAGGTGGAGCTGAGGGTGGGGCTGTAAGGCTAGGATCAAATGATGACACCCGTCAAACTGAAGCAATGTAGCTACAAGCTAACCCAAAGCTAACGCGGAGGTGGTAGCTAAGCTAACAGAGGTAGCTACGTAGCTACAGCCAGAGTTAACTGTGCATAACACCGGAGCTTCTGAGCCAGAAATCCATCGGGCTGACCTCTGGGTAAAACCGGGTAGAACACAGATGTCTCCCGAGAGCTCCACAAGCCGCGCAGCAGACAAGAGCCGCAGCAATCAGATGCGTTGAGCTGCCGCTGGGGAGAACTGGGTGGAAAACATTGGTTTCCATTCGAGAGCTCCACAAGCCGGCATCTCGCGCAGCAGACAGGCGCCACTGTGATCAGAGATGCACCGAGCTGCCGCTGAAGGGAAGGAGTCCATACCGATAGTCGGAACCCAGCTCCACTAACATGTTATTTTTTAACCCACTTTCAAAAGTGCAGCATTATGTTAAATGCACTGGGTTTTACCCTATTGCATTTCAATTTCATGGCTAAACAGTACATGTTAAAATCTAAGCTCAGCTAGTGCAAGAGCGGCAGTGACCTAAAATACATAAATATAAATTTACTTAACGAAATAAATGAAGTGGAGACTCCTTGGAGGCTCTATTAGTGCAATTAATGCCACAGCAAGTCATTTTGTCCAACAATTGCACAAATAATATCCAAAAAGAATGCACAAACGCTACAACTATTGGTCTAAGTTGAGAGACTAAAAATTGCGGAACAATTTTCAGGCGAGGCCGAGGCTCAGGCTGAGGCCTTTCCACGTGGGTTGGATGCTCATTAATTATTCAGACTTTTAAGCTTTTAATACACTTAAACAGAAGAGTGACAAAAAATTCACCCCCCTCAGAGTTGTCATGAGTGTAAACTAGATCTATTAAACCAAAAACATGTTTTGGTACCAGGCTGTAAACATGTTTATTTCTGCTGTGAAATTGGTATTTTTAACATGGGAGTCAATGAGGATTTGCTCGCTTCTGACACCAGCCCCCAGCGGATGAGGGTGGAACTGCAGTTTTCACTTCCGTGTTGGCTTCATTTTCAGACCCGAATTATGGGGCTTGGTGCACAGCACACTTACACATTTTCCATTAATTAGTAGCAAGTCATTTTGGATAAAAGCATCTGCCCAACACGTAAAAAATATACATAATAATTCACATTTTTATTACAGCAACTGCAAAGTGAAAATCACAAGTGTAATTTAAATACGTCAATAACCTCTGAATCTATTTTAATTTGCTCATTCTACTAAAAAAAAAGGAACTAAAACCAGTTTGTAGTGCCAGATTGTTTTAGATATCTAATGAGAACCATATATTGTTCTAAACACGTGTGTAATTTAAGGAAGTGCATTGAACATTAATTATTTAAGACGGCTAAATAGAAAGATAGCTGACCTTGGCTGGGTTACTTTGAATTCTTCGTAACATTTGTGCATTTCTGTTTTGCCCATCAGCTACGTAGCAGCAGCAGTAGCCTTGGATCAGGACACAAATGCGAGTGTAAGAAAGTTCGAGGTTTGTGATAACATCAATCTGGAGATGGTGCTGACGGAGTATGAGAGCTATCATTACGTCAAGTTTCAGAAGTATCCCAAACTCGTCAGGAAAACAGCAGAGCCAGGCAAGGAAATCACTACTGATAAATCTGCTGAGAGATCAATAGAATATAAACAAGAACTCAGAGTTAAGATTTGTTTGTTTGTTTTGTAAAGGTGAAAGCAGACAGACAAAAGGTGGTGGAGTCAAAAAGTGAGTCCCTTCGTATCCTTTAAAGAGCAAGTCACCCCCCTACAAGAAGCTTACTTCACTCCCACTTCATGTTTGAAAAATGCAACAAATGCTGTTGCCTAGCAGACCGAGAGGGCGGAGTTGCTAACAAACACACACACAGGCTCACAATGGCATTGTGACATCATAATGTACCAGCTAACATGATAGCATACCTCTAGCCAATAGCGGTGGCAGATTTAAATTCAAATACAGTGCTAAATTTTTCCCTGACTACGGCATAACACTGACAGTTTTAGGCAGGATATTTAAATCTTAACTACGATGCACTGAAGTGCCAAATTTTGACTACACGTGTCTACAGCACAATTAGACACTCATTTATGTAGTTTATCAGCAAAAAAAGTTGATTTGGGGGTGACTTGCTCTTTAAGTTAAACGTTTGATATAAAAAGCTAATCCATAATCATTCAACTCTCCTGTGTCTCTTTTGTCCTCAGAAGTCCCTCCTCAGCTGTGAAGCCTCTTCCCAAAATCAACTCATCCTCTGGCTCCCAGCCTGGAAGTGCATTCAAGAGAACAGCCAGTGTTTGCGAAAAAGTATAACAATTTTAACAAAAACCTATACACAAATACTAAAACAACAAGCTTTTATTCTGCCCTTTCTGAATGATGAAATATATTTCCCAGGAGAATGGTATTCCTGTAGCACCGGAGTTGTCGGAGTTCGGGCTCAACGTTCTCCCCATCAAAAACGGATCGGCTGGAGAGCCTGCAGCATTCAGAAAGGTGCTGAAGAGGTTATTAGGCCTACAGAACCCTTTTGCCTCAAATGTTTTCTTGGAAGCACGGACCCGGTAACACCTAAAGTATTTTAAACCAGACTACACTGACTTCTGAGTAAACCCTTCAAAGACAGCTGCATTATGTTACTGTAAAATAGTAATATAATTCATTATTATTATATTTTGGGTCCAGATAACTGATGGAAAAGCAACAATCCATGATGCAGGCAGAGGATCAGACTTTCACTCAGACCACATGGTAAGAATTATGTGAGGAACTATTAAAATAAAGATTCTGACATTAAAATACTGTCAAATAACACATTTGATATTTTGTGTGTATTTCTGAAGAACTGTAAGTTTAAATTCAGTTTATTTAAATAGCGTCAAATCACAAGAGGCGTCTGAAGGCACTTCACAAAGTAAAAATTCCAGTTGAACCTACTTATCAGTGCACTGAGCTCAGTTTATTATTCCAATTAATTTCAAGTTTCCTATGTAAGGAAACCAAGCAGATTACATGGAGTCACTGACTTGTTGTGTCAGTGACTTTACAGCAATCCTCATACTGAGCAAGCACGTAGCGGCAGTGAAACACTCCCCTTTAACAGGAAGAAACCTCCAACAGATCCTGGCTCAGTATAAGCAGCCATCCGCCACGACTCACTGAGGGTTTGACAGGACAGAGCAGACACACAACAATAAATCCACAAATTAACAAGTGGTAGTAGTTTCTATGTTCAAGAAAGTAAAAAGATGACATCTGAACCGCAGACATGCCTTTTTTCCCCTGTGCAGGAGCGGCTGTTGAAGCCTCTCAGTGGCTTTTCTGGAATGAGTGGTGAAATGAGAGACCTGGCAGCAGTCATCAGTGGGGTATTGCACACACATTTCAATTTTGTCTTGCATACTCAGAACATAGTAAATGTGGTTGTTTTTTTTTAGGTTAAGCCACAAAACATAAAAGTTAATGTAACACTGAAGCTCAGATAACACTGATATACAGATGAGAATAAAAGTGTTTGTCTGGTAAAGAAGGAAAAAACCCACAATGGCCCCAGAGATCGAGCGATACAGGTTTTTGTAAATAGATTGTATTTGATGCAGGCCCTTCTAGAGCAGGGTATCTGCAGGTTTAAGGGAGCCAAATTTAAGACTTTTTAACACCTTTTTTAAGGCCACTTTGACCAAATTTAAGCTATAATTTCCAGCTATTGCCTGGAACCGGTGCTAACCACGTCGCGAATGTAGGATTAGCCATCCAGTTACCATTAAACTTGCACTTCCCCATGGCGCAAGCTCCCACTAGCTTAACCAGCTAATGTGCTCATCTAAAAATAGCCCCCTTTCACAACCAACCAAATGTGTATGGTTCCGCTTACGCCAACATCGTACACAAAAAATGCTGAACACTAACCAATTCACGAAAATTTTATAGAAATAAAACAATCTTGTTTATTGGGTCTTTGGTAATTTAAGACCTTTAAAAACTCTATTTAAGGATTATTAGTCATTTTTATGGATTTTTAAGACCTTAAATTTGGAAAAGCCAATTTAAGACTTTTTAAGGACCCGCGGATACCCTGTAGAGTCCTGTAACCTCCCAAGGTGCTTTACAACACAATTAGTCATCCACACACACATTCACACTCTGGTGGTGATGAGCTAGCTACATTGTAGCCACAGCTTCCCTGGGGCACACTGACAGAGGCAAGTCTGCCATACGCGGGTGCCACTGATCCCTCCAAACACCACCAGCAGGCAAGGTGGGTCAAGTGTCTTGCCCAAGGACACAACGACAGACTGAGCAGGGCTCTAGCCTGCAACCTTCCGGTTACGGGGTGAGCACTTAACTTCTGTGCCACCATCGCCCCCTGTACCTCCGATACCGACGTCTAGAAGTTAGATCAGCCATTATCTGCCTTTGTTCCCTTATTTGCTTGCTAAAATGCCACTAATAACAGTGGATATAAAAAAAGGGTAAATATCATCCCAATACATCAGCAAACAGACATACTGGTCTATCCCTGCTTGAAACAGACACGTTTAATAGTAATAATAAGAAAAACTAAAATAATAACAAATGAAGATCAGCCATTGCTTGTAAATTTGGGTTAACAGAATAATAAAACATACAATTTCTCAAAACGACCCGGACAAAAGTACGGTGTCCCACGAAAAGATTGAACATAACATGACAACAGGGACATTTTAAACTACATCTGTCCTGTTGGCATCTCCTTCATCTTCAGCCGTTATTCTAAATCTTTAACAACATTAAGGACAGAGTTGTCTCAGATTAGAAAGACAATTATTGACCAGCACGTCTAAGGTCTCTGAGTTTAATGCCCGTCTGACGACGGCTGCACTTGCTGTTCAGCTCTTTAAGGTCTGTTGGTTGTAGATAATTTCCATGGATGTGACTGCAAAGTAACCAAAGAGCTCAGAACAAATTACGGAAAGGTTAGACGTAAACTCCAAGGTCAAAGACGCACCTTTCAGCCAAGGAGGACATAATGGAAGACAACCTAGACGGACACCGCTGCTCACATCAAATTACATTTAAAAAGACTGGAAATTTAAAAAAGCAAATTAACAAACTGTAAAGCCTCAGGAAGAAGGTCAGACCTAAATATTTAGTTTGTAAAATAAATATTTACTTTACTAACTAAATGCTCACTTTGGAACAAAATATTTAGTTTACAAACTAATATTTTGCTGGGATTTAAAAATGTATTTTGGAACATAAATATTTAATATTTAGTTTGTAAAATAAATGGTTTGTTCCCAAAGAAATATTTAGTTAGTACATTAAATATTTATTTTAACAACTAAATATTAAGGTCTTACCTAAATATTTAGTTTGTAAAATACATATTTAATTCTAAATTAAATATTTAGCTTGCTAACTAAATATTTAGTTGTGAACTTTAACATGTATGAATAACATAAAATATGACTATGAAAAGTGAATTCACATTTTTTTCTCTTACAATAATCTAAATAACCCAAAATACTGCTGTTAAATTATGACTCTTTGATTTTACAAATAGCACACCATATGGCCCAACCTCAGATAGCTAGGTCTCTGTAGCAGGTCATGGGGCCTACACCAGGAAAATGGCCTATGGCTAAGCTAAGTCTGAAGTAGCCTTCTAATAGCCCTGATTTAAAACTGTTGAACATCTGTGGAAGGAGCTGAAACATCTGGAGGATGAACCCAGTATATCTAAGATACCTGTCCTTTAGAGAGTTACAGAAGTCACTTGACGCCCGTCTGATGACGGCTGCACTTGCTGTTCAGCTCTTTAAGGTCTGTTGGTCTCTAATTTCCCTCTGGGATTAATAAAGTATCTTTGATTGATTGATTGACTGCTTTTGTCAGCTTCAGGTCATTTTTGTGACCATTGTGCGTTTTTCTTTCTATAACAAGATACCAAACACTTTCATCCATGTCTATAAATGTCTGCATTTGCACACTAGAGTGCAGTAAAGAGCTGCACTGAGAGTAAATTGATGTTCTGCCCTAGAGAAGGCCTAGGCTCTATTTGTTTTACTTAAATGATGTTTCACTCTGAAGGACACCCAGTTACACAAACCTAGCTACCACCGCCCTCCCAACTCTGTGTTTGCGTGTGTTCACCCCCTAAAGGACATCTATTTGCACAGCCCAAATGTACGCTGGGAGGACATCATCGGTCTGGAGGATGCCAAGCGATTAGTCAAAGAGGCTGTCGTTTATCCCATTAAGGTGAGGCCGGCACACGAATGCGCTGGTATTTCAGCGTCAGTCCTCGTTCTTCGATTCTGAATACATCTCCTTTAAAGGGCTTAAAGAGAAGACGGGCAGCAGGGGTCAGGGCAGTCTATTAGACTGACATTAAATCCATATCTGGGATCTTATGGCAACAACACTCATATGCAGATGGATAGACGGAGAGCGAGGTGGGAGCACGCATGTAGAATTTACACAAACCCGTTCACACAGTTTTACAACCACGTATAGATAACAGCCACAAACACACACACACACACGTACATACACACGGGAATCACACACATGCATTTTTATCATCATCATCCAGACCTTTCTCATGACAACCAATCCGCTTGTCTGCATCCTCTTGACATTTCCAGGCGAAGATGAGGACTGATGTGTCTGTTTTCTTACATATATTCTGCTGGCCTGTTTTATTCAATAACACCGCCCTGCCACCCTTCCTAACGTTCGTCTCCATTATTATTCATTCTCCGACTTATAAGGTCAGCTGGATGATTTGAACCTGCTTCTCTTTGCCACTGAAGATTCAAAATAATTTGTGCTTTATGGTGTTGGGAGCACCGACTCAGCTTTTCATCTAGTTCATCAGTTTTCTTTGCATATATCGCAGCTTTTGATTGGTCCAATTTAGAAAACATACCATGAAGTTTATGCTGTTCTAGTCACATTTGTCTTTTCTAATCTTTATTTTTTTACTTTTATTCTCTAACTCACTCTTTCTGCAGTATCCGCAATTGTTTACAGGCATCTTATCTCCATGGAAGGGCTTGCTGCTCTACGGCCCCCCAGGTAAGGCCTTCAGGGCAAAACAAACATGAGGAGCTCTTTATGTCATGGTTTGGCTCTGCTCAGCTTTGCTCTCTTCCACACAAAGGGACTGGTAAAACCCTTCTGGCAAAAGCCGTAGCTACAGAGTGTAAGACAACGTTCTTCAACATTTCAGCCTCTAGCATCGTCAGCAAGTGGAGAGGAGACTCTGAAAAACTTGTCAGGGTAGGTTGTCCTCTCACAATGATACCCAAACATGAGTTCTCAGGTTGTTACTAACATCATGTGCATCTGCAGGTTTTGTTTGAGCTGGCCAGGTACCACGCCCCTTCCACCATCTTCCTGGATGAGCTGGAGTCAGTGATGGGACAGAGGGGATCCAGTTTGGGGTGAGCTCTGCCACTAAAGCCATCGTCAACATTTTGGAGGTTGACAAAACGTTAGAAGTCCAGTTGCTGTAGACTAGTGATGCCATGCCTGAGTGACTGAAACGACACACTGAGCTGAACAGAAGTGTTATTTATTTCAGAGGCCTTTATTCAAAATTGCATTGTTTATTCAAAATTATTCAAATGCAACTCATTCTTGCATCAACAACTGACATTTGTCAGAATTTATGGGTTCTGTTTGACGCTTAAGATCTGGATTTTCCTGGACATGGACCCAAAGGTATAAAAGTTTTCTCCCTGAACCACGACTGTACCCTTTTGGCACGGTGCTCCACCATGCTGAAAAAGGCTTTGTCCATCACCATGGACGGTGTTTACGTATCATTCTTCATCCATCTCTGTGTTCTGAGGATAAACTGGGAGTGAATCCACTCCTCCATACAGGAATGGCCTCAGGTTGCTTTGCTGTTGACATGACATGGGACTGGTAGTGGTGCTGCTCACCTGTCCCAGACAATTTAAAAAATGGGAATTATCTGGGGTAATGTCTTCACAGCAGTCCTCAGTGGTCCAGTCCCTGAATGAGTTTGTCTCTGGTGTTTTTTTTTCTTGGAAAGACTTCTTCTTCTTTGCTGTTGTTCTTGACACGAGCCATCCTCCATAGGTCTTTACCTCAGTGCCTGCAGATGTGCTCTCATTCAGGTGACATTAACGCTGTTGCTCAAATGTTGAGGCCATGAAAATTGCTTTAAACAAACCAGGTTTATGCAAAAGGTTTATTCAAATGCATTTGCTTTAAAAATACTTTGTTATTGTTTTAGGGGAGAGCATGAGGGGAGTCGGAGAATGAAGACGGAGCTGCTGGTACAGATGGATGGGCTTGCACGATCAGACGACCTGGTGTTTGTACTTGCTGCCTCTAACCTGCCATGGTAATCTTTTAGTGTAACCAAACATGCATTTATTAAGTATTTTATTTAAAATATTTTCATCTAAACTTTCTAACAAATTTTAATTCACCTGAATAAATAACATTGACAGAAATGTAAATATTACCGTTTGCTAAAAAGATTAACATTGTGGCAGATGGCTGCTTATACTGAGCCAGGACCCTCTGGAGGTTTCTTCCTGTTAAAAGGGAGTTTTCCTCTCCACTGTCACTGCATGCTTGCTTAGTATGAGAACTGCTGTAAAGCCAGTGGCACTAGTCAGTGACTTGATGCAATCTACTGGGTTCCTTATATAGGAAACCTTTAACTTATTGGCTTAATGAACTGAACTACATTGGAACTTTTGGAAGTGCCATGAGGCAACTTGTCGTGATTTGGTGCTTTAAAAATAAAATGAATTGAACATAGAAATGTCTATACATTAAATGACAAACAGTGGTTATATATGTATTTGTGATTCCTGTCTACCGGTTTGTATTTAGTGGTGCTCTGTTTGCAGGGAGCTGGACCACGCCATGCTGAGAAGATTAGAGAAGAGGATTCTGGTGAACCTCCCCTCATCCCCTGCACGCCAAGCCATGACCTCTCACTGGCTCCCTCCTCTCAGCTACATAGGAGGGGTCGAGCTGCGAACTGAGTTGGACTACAAAACTCTGGCAGATGTTTGTGACAGCTTATTACAAATTTATATTTATGCGTTGTATCTGTTTTTATATTAACCAAGTTACTCTAGTGTAGATAATCTTCTACCTTCTTCGTGCATGTGTGGTTGTTTTTCAGGAGATGGAAGGATACTCTGGCTCTGATGTCAGACTGGTGTGTAAGGAGGCTGCCATGAGGCCCGTTCGTAGGATCTTTGACTTTCTGGAGTCGCATCAGAATGGTAGGATGACACACATTCATGTGCAGATATGAGATCCCTACAACAGGTTATTCCTCAGTGTGGTTCTTGTCCACAGCAGACACCAACATGCCTGCGATCCAGCTGGAAATGATAACAACAGCTGACATCATGGAGGTGATCGCACACACCAAACCATCAGCCCGAAACTTGTTGGCCAGATACTCAGCCTGGAAGACAGAATATGAGTCTGTCTGATGGTCACACTGGAGGAAACGTGTTTGTGTCAGCATCCTAACTGAAAGACTCAAATTCAGCCGTTGCACTTACACTTCACAGTGAGAAATTATAATATTGTTTTGGTTTTTTTAAGCTTCTAATGAGGATTTTTATAACTTGTAACAGTTTTGAACAATTATTTAACGGGAAAACCCTAAACCAGTTTTCCTCTGAGTCCATGCTACAGTTTAGAGGTTGTCTTCTCAATGATAACAAAACTAAATGACAAATGTTGTATTTTCTTTTTTATTCGAGTATTTTCACACAACTTGACACGACAAAGTGTTTTTACAGTGACTGGAGATAACTGACAACTTGCTGGTTTTATTTTTCTTTGCAAACTTCTAGTTTGAAATTGATCTGAGTTATTCTCCTTTTATTAATGTTTTTACCACAATAAAGGTATAACTGCCTTCTCTGAAATATGATTACACTGCATTAGTGATAATTACCATAAGATTTTGTTTTTATTAGTTGTAGCTTCAGAGAAGATTCTGCAGGATGTGTTCAACAGCATCTGGAAAACTGTCACATGTCAGGTGAGGAGGTGGGCTGATTTTATTTTCATCTCCCTCTCTGTATTTACCTGAAACATGACAGATTATCATGAGTTACAAAAACAGGACTCCTGATAAAATGGCGTAGAAGTAAGTCGGAATAAATCCTGAGGACACGAACTGTAAAATGGATGTTTTAAAGGGGACATGTTATGCAAAATGCACCTTCTGCATTCTTTTAAGCTGCCATGTGGGTCTCTACTGCCTCTAAAAAACACTCAATGTGAAAAAAACCCATCCATCCATTTTCTGTTGGTGTTTGGTTTCATATGTGCCATACACGAGATTAAAATAGAATCACCTCTCGTGTGCAAAATAACGTTGCTGCTGGAGGAGTAGCAGCTCTACTCCGAACCACTCCCAGATATCAGAGCATCTCAGGTTATAGCAGCCTGAGCGGGGATGGGTTGTTTTCTTAAAGCGCCAGAGACCTGAAACGGCTCATTGTGGAAGGTACCTAAAATTTTTGAATAAAACGGCTGAAACTGATTTATGTGAGAGGGTTTTAGTGCAAAAACCTCCATAACATGTTTTGTATCGAACTTACAACCATTATAACTGAAGAAAAAAGTAATAAAATGCCCCCTTTAATGATGATGGAGGGATAATTGAACAGAAATAATACTGAGAAGTTCTCCATCATCATCATTCTAGTCTGAAGATAAAATTGTGACTTACAAAGCATCAGTAACGTGCATAAATATGAAGTGGAAGAGTGCTCTCACCTGTTCGGACCAGAATACCCAACATTCCTGCGTTTTGAGCCCCGCCTACATCATCTCTGACATCCTGAAATGGAGGAAACTGGCAGCTTTTAGTGCAACTCACATTTATTAGAGCATTCATGATCAAGGACTAATAAAAAAGGTGTTTTTTTTAGTCTGAGTAGTGTTCACCTTCCTTAATCTAGTGAGAGTGGTAGAAATATACTTACAAGGATAGATTATTAAGTAGCTTAATTTGGAAAAATGCCAAAGCTACTGGTGTGAAATCAAACACACATGAGCCATTGTGCTCATATTAGATTGAAATCTGCATACTGGTGACCAGTTGAAAATAATCTGCAAATACAAACTGTACTGAAATTGAAACTTTAAACATACTCACATCTCCGATCATGACAGCTTCACTGGGGCTGCATCCTAATTCAGACAGAGCCTGTATGGAGAAGAAATCAAAGAGAAAATTTGAAAAGGTTTCACTTGCAGGTGAATTATTAGCTCCAAAAGCTAAAATGTTTACCTGTGTAAAAAACGTCTTTTCAGGCTTTCCCACTACAGTAGCTTTACATTCTGCTGCATATTCAAGTCCTGTCACAAAGGGCCCAGGGCCAAGAGCCAAACCATCCATACGTTTATAATAGCGAGCTTTATGTATGGCGATAAGGGGAGCTCCATCCAAAATCATTCTAGAAAGAAACACATTAAAAATGTATAAAAATTGACAGACGACAGCCTAAACCCCCGTGCAATTAGTCCAGTTTGTATTTCTATATAGCTTTTTCTTCAAAGGATTAAAAAAGCAAAGTAATCATGAAAAACAAAATTATTTGTCCAATTCTTCTTTTGTCACCTCTTCCAATTATTGCACACCACCTTTTTGGAAGGTCAAACTCAAATTCATCTTGTGGTGGGGGTTAACAAATAGAGTTTAAGAACAGAAAGATGGAAGAACAAAGGCAAAACACACTGGATGTCATTTGATGAGCATTAAAATCTATGCTTCCATTGTTTGCAACATGACCACCACACCCTCAGTGGCCAGGGATTTATTTTAATGGCTTCAATCTGAAAACAAATATGTGCACCAGCGCTGTTCTTCTCTTCTTATTTAGCAGTTCCTTCTATTTTCTTCATGTGACTGACAATACAAGTAGAAAATCAAGTTTATTATTTGGTGTTTACATGTGTTTAAAATAATATCCAAATGTTACAAAATATCCAAAATATTTTGTATTCTGAAATGGCCACATTAAATTGCCTCAGTGTATGAAATTTGCTATATGAATAAAGCTGACTTGCCTATATGCTAAAATAAATTCTGTTGTGTCATTTATAGTCTTGTAATTTTAAATCCGCACAACTCTGCCACCTGCTGATGTAAATCAGTGCCTGCACTCTGCCTGAGCTCTTAATGTTTCTGGACTCATTTGAGTAAGTGAGGTAAATAAAAATAATCATGATTACTATTTCTACCATACTGGAGCAGCCCGATTTGAACTTTTCTGACGTTCCCACCTGAAGGCCCTGTTGAGAGTCTGGTAGTTGAAGTGATCAGGAGCAAGTCCAACAACAACAGCGTTGGGATGTGACATGTCAATCCCTGCAGTTGGAGACGATAATAACTCGTTTTACATGTATAAGGTACAAAATATGAAAATAATTTAAAAAATATGATGTTGTGTCCTCTATTTATGTACCAGTGAAGTCTTCCAAAGCGCTGTCCTCCACCAGCAGCAGCGGCCTGTGTTGTTTCTGCTCTAACAGACTTCTTGCTGCACTCAGAGATGTGAAGATCTCTTTTTCCTGCAGATTCAGTTTCAAAGGCAAACTCAAGAACTAATGCACTGCAGAGTCACATGAAGTCATGTTAAAAGCCTGACACACACAGTGATACTTTTGCTATTTATTTCTGGGAAATTCAGACAAAATTCTAAACAATATTTTTTTCCCTCAACTTTACAATAAAAAATTATTTTCACCTGTAGGTCAAAGTTGAGACGTTGCAGCCTTTCCAGTAAGTTCCTCTTACTCTCTTTGGTTGTGTTGGTCACAAACTTCACAGAAACAGATGCCTGCCGTAGACTGACGACATCAAAACACTGTTAGAATTCATGTCTATGTACAATAAAAGATGCTAGCCTTTACGTGTGTAAACGTGGCCAGTCACACTGACATACAGACGTTCTTCCTTCCCTTCTTCCACCTGTCCCTGTTTCCTACCAGTGGAGGGCGTCCTGCGCTCCAGGCACTGCGGTGTCTTCTACATGTAGAGTTCCACTGAGGTCAATGAGCACAGCCTTCAAAGCTCGTCTACCCGCCATGCTGAAGATCTGCCTGACGACTGGATGACAATAATGAATGGTGTTACTAATTATTTTCTTTAGGTCTTGTTTTCTTTTGTCTAAAACTCTACAGCTAAATTGTTTTAATAATAAAAACCGCTGCTTGATTAGCAAACTGAACATTATGCACAGATTAATACCAGCAGAATTGCATTTTACCTTTTTAGATAACAGATAAGAGCAGCTTGGATCGTGTTCTCATTTGTGGCTTTTCTGCTTTATTCCATTTAAAAAAAGCTGATTCTCTCACAATAACTGATCCTTTCATAGATCATGTATTCATAATTCACATCAGTAATGGGAGAATTTATCAGATTATTGTGTTGATCAAACCTACAGCAGAAGAAACTGAGAGGATTATTGACCCGCTTCCTGTGTGGATTCCTGCCTGGAATACAGATTTAAGGATTTTAGAATTTTTTTTTATTATTTAGACAAGCTTGGATTTCTGTCGTGTAGTTATCAATCTGACGGTGCAATTAATGCTCTTAAAACCAAAAGTGCCCGCACGCATGAATGCACACACAGTCAGAAGATACAAGCGAACCCAACTGATGAATGCAAAACTGTCGGGGTTCCCGTAAAACTTTGTTCTCTTGGTGTTTCGACATTTTTCATAAATGCAAATGAAAAAAAAATCGAAACAAATTGGCATCCAAATAAAGAGCTAAAGGGTTTAGATGAAATTCATTTTTGGCTTTTTACTGTTTTCGGTATGGTATGTGTAGACACAGCACTGGTCCTATAAACAAATATTGTTGAAGCCTAAACTGATAGTTGACATCTTGAGAATTGGGTTTCTGTGAAAAGATTAGAAAGACTTAAAATCTCATTAAATCTTCAGTCCAGAGAAAAAGCTTCATTCTGATGGTGATCTAACAATTAGTCGGAATGGGGCCAGTTATTAAGTGTCTCATTTTCATTGTTTTAAGAAAAACATCTAAACATCTCATGACTGTGTTACCACATATGCATCACATTATCAGGATGTACAGCTGAGTTATAAAACTCTAGCAGCTTATTCTGCTACAAACCACCACATCATTCTAATAAACCTGTAATGTGAACTTAAAGGATGATGTAAACGTTTATTAAGTACCAGTTCCATGAACTAATGATTTGTTTGAAAACTGCAGAAAAATGTAGCTGGGTCAAAGGTCACACCAAGGGGTTTGTGTGAGAAGCAAGCTGACCAAGAGAGTCTCTGACTTTGGGAACCAGCTTGTCTGGGACACAGATCTCATCTTCACTCAGCTGTAGAAAGTTCCCAGCCGTCCAGGTTTTGATAGAGTCTAAGCAGGTGTGTAACAGCTGCAGCTTAGACATCTCATGGGGCTTAAAGGAGATGTACAGTTGGACGACTGAAACTTGGAGACGGCCACAGAGAAAGAGTGCTCAGAGAGATAAGAGGAGAACCAATCCAGAGCAGATCCTGATAGGCCTACCCAGTCTCTCAGCTTATCCAGTAGCAGGTGATGGTCAACAGACCTCAGGTTGTTCAGAGCTCTCTGCAAATGAGATGGATTTGTCCGTAATCATGACTTTTATTTTTGGGAAGATGTTCTTGTAGCTATAAGTGAAGCTGCCCACAAAACAAAAGGAGATTAAGACCAATCTAAACTATTCCAATTAATTTTTTCAATAGTTTGAAGGGAAAAACTACATAAATTAGGAATTGGTTAAACATTAAATTATTTTAAAAAAAAAATGATGGCACCGCTTTGATTCTAATGAAACTTCAAGGCAGATCTTCATGTTAAGTCTTCCTCAGCTGATTTCAAATGTTTCCCTGGATGTTGGTCTGAAGTGTGAAGTCTGAAGCACACCTAAACCTTTTATTACTTTGTCAAAGCCAACACTGACAACAGTTTAATCAATACGATGCAATTATTAAACATGTTAACTAGGTCTGTACACTTTCTAAAAGACATTAGATCAAAATTATATGGAAATCCTGTAGAAGTTCAAAGAACTCAGCGAATGACAAGCTGCTGACTCAATATCAGTCACATATTTAACTCCGTTCTTATAACTCATGTTAATTTATTCATTTTATTCTGTAAAAGTCAAATAATGAAGTTTAAACAGCCAGATACATTTCTGCTAACCTTAAATTGCAGCAGTACTGCTTCCTGTTGACGTTTCTTCTTCGTTGGTGTAAGTAGTGTAGATTTTTCTCGTGCTCGCTGCTGTCTCCTGCAGGTGAAATGAAGCAGCGCTTCATGATCCTGGATCTTGTTGACAAATTGTGCTATTAGTATTTGAACAGAAAGTACTGTTCAAATCCTTGGAGAAAAAATATTTTTGCATCACCCATTAAAAATATTTAAAAATATATGTTTGTTTTTATGTTTATCTGTTTTTCTTTTTAATTCTAACATTCATTCTTTAATCATTTAAGAGGGTTATTCTTACCCGCTTAATCACTCACTGGAATAAAAAAAAACATATGGGTTCTATCACTCTAACAACCAACAGATGTATCGCATTAGAAGGGTTTGAAGGGAGGTAAAAATCTCTCTGCATGATGCCAGACAGCACTGATCCAATCCTCTTTCCACGCAAATAGTGGATAACACATTTGTTTTTCACCATTCAGCTTTTATATAAACAATGTTCAGATGATAACATATTTGGAAACTAAAGTGAGAATTTAAATGTACTTGTCTAGAGAAATGTGTTAATATGATGTTGCTGTTTATTCATCTGTTTTGTTCTTTTCTCATTTTGCACTTGCAATATTTTGGTTTAAGTTTATTTATGAAGCACATTCAAAATGCACTGTGTTGCCTAAAGTGCTGAACAAGAACTCATCAAATCAGCAATAAAAATGGTCTCAACAAGCACACACAGCATTCAAGTAAAACAATAATGCAAAAGACTAAAAAAGTAAATAAGAATATATCACTAAAATACACAACCTGGTTAGTTGTAATTAAAATCAAGTGTGCAGAAATGCGACTTCTGCATGGATTTAAAAGGTTGGTAGGCTGAGCAGAACTTTCTTGTGTGTTTATTTTATAAAGTATGATTTAAAAAAAATCTATTCAACTTCAGCCTTTTGGCATCCTGGCAAGCCAGACTAAATAAACATGTTTTTAAATTTAATATATAAATATTTATACATCAAACTTTGCAAGGCAAGAATTTGGTCTAGTTCACTGGGCTAACCTTTTATTTTTTTATGAGGAAAAACTAGCAGAAAGTGTGATTTATAAACTGTTTTTTTTTACAATTTCTTCATATCATAATAAAGTATAAATTCATAATAATGGCCAATAAAATGTTTTTAAACATATGTTGTCCCTAGACAATTTTTTTTATTTATTTAATGTTTAATATAAATACTTGTATTTTAACTGTTAGATGGTTTATTTGTTTGCTTTTCTAAAGTGACCAACTATGAACTTAATTCTACCTGATGATTCACTGTTTCAAAGCCAGATCTGTAAACCGTGCACACACGTTTAGCTAAACCCGCACTAATCACATATCAAAGTGGCTTTAATACACAAATCTCCCTGTTAAACATATGGTTCTAATTCCAGTAGGCCGCCTCTATCCTCAAATCCTTCACTTTTAGGGTCAAAATCCATGTGAATAAACACGGTTGGAGAGCAAAAGGGGAGGGGACGGTGATAATTCACAACATATTGGGATTATTATTAAAATAGAACAAGGACAGAAACAGTCTGAAATGTGATAGTCACTGAAAAAGGAGTAAAGTCTTGATGGCATTTGAGTAAAAAATGAAAAGTTGTGATCTACCTACTTAGATCTTCATTTGCAACCTCAGACTCCCATTTATTAATCTTATTGTTGTAATTGAATTATTGATTTTCTCTTCATCTACTTTCAACTGACTGATTTCTGTTTGACCTAAATAATGATGCCCTTAAATATTCCAGACTGGAACTGTAAGACTTCTATGAATGTTTATGATGTAAACCCATAGATAGGAATATGTAGATGTGCCATTGGGGACTGGAGAGTGCAACAGCGTTGCCACCACATTGGATGGGTTTCCATACTCTCCAAAGTCAACGCAGAGTGGGCAACTATGCCCGTCTTTAATGGAGTCTATGGTTACAAAAACCTGCGTACTGTTGATAACAAATGACGTGGAATTAGTTTTGACTTTTCTAGTCTGATTGAATTTTATATTTTATTATATTTATACTTTGTCATGCCATACCATGTGGCCGATCTTGTGAAAAAAGCTTGATAAAATGTGTTTTCTAGTAGAAATGCATACACTGGGGCGCAAATGGAGACCCATCTAAGATGGAGGCTGGCCACTACGGAAGCTCCAATTGGCAGCGCCAGTGTACGGCGCATCTATGTATGTATGTGTGTGTGTGTGTGAACCCACCACCCCTGCTACAAGACAAATACAGTAGCTGTTACTGTGGTTACAGAATCACTAATTCATCTAATTATCTACAAACAGTACAAATACTTTAGTTTATAGACACACATGGATTAGGAGGCCAATTTGAAAGGGAGGGTAGCTGGTCCAAATTAGATTTTTTTTCATTCCCCTGCCACATGAATAAAAAAAAAATAAATAAATAAAAAAATAAACCTCACCAAATTGGTTACATTTATTTTAAAATAACAAAATATCTCAGTTTTCATAAAATCAAGTAGGCCACAGTGTGGAAAATGTACATCAATTTGGAAATACTGCTTAAAATGTAAAATTTTCACACAAATGTGAATGAATAACACAATTTTTTATACATTAAATACAGTATGGCAGGCTGATCTTTATCCACACAAAGTGTCTTTTATCAGTGTAACAAACATGTTGCCAAATCATCATTTTCTAATACTAATTAACTGATAGTAATAGAGTTCTTATTTTTAATTTCCAAACAGGATTTTTCAGCATCTTTACGAGTCATTACGGCTGAATTTAACCATTTACAAAAACGTACGGCACCTTTTAAATAATCTAAACAGGTTCCTGCCAACACATCCTGGAGATGATCAGCAGCACAGAAGCTCAGGATGAAGAGAAATTCATCACCTGCAATTCGACTTCAGAAAAATTAAATACACACTCAAGAGCAGGGGAGGAAGCCTGCTGGAGTCATACGTCTGTCTGGATGGCAGCATCATTCTTCTTTGTGGGAGAACATCTGTGACTGGAACGCTGCTTACAGGAACCCAACCATCCAAAGACATAAGGGTCTAAATGACAGAGTGCTGATGTGTGTAGTGATCGGTGGCTCTTTGACTTCTCGTGCTTTTGGTCCATTATTGGCCCGGGGTTAACCAAACAGCAACAGCAGAACAATACTTGCAGAGTTCACCATTATCAAAGGCACTGCGAATAAAAAATGAGACGTTTTTCGGGTTAAATTGTGGAACAGTTTTTAGGAGAGGTTTAGGGAACGTCCAAATATACAGTTTAAAAAATATATATATAAAGAAATAATTTTTGCAACAGAAATGATGATGACACGTGATAGTCAGTGTCGGATTTAGCAATTTGGGGGCCCAAGGTGAACACAGACATGGGGCCCCATACACAAAATTTTCAACAATCTTATCTTTAACTGGATTTGCGAAACTCTCCCCTCTTCTGACATGAGTTATTTTCCCTGTTTATTAGTCCTCCTCTTATTTCCCATCTTTTCCTCCCTTTGAGTGATTTCAATATTTGCTCTGCTTTCTTCTTCCTGTCAGTGCTCCTGTGCTTTTGCCTTTGTTTTTTTTCTTCTATTTTCCATTTCGGTCCATGTTTTCCTCCCTTTAAACATTTTCCACTGTCTTTCCTTTCTGCTTCCTTTTGATGTTTACATATTAAAATGACATCACTTTCAGAAATGAAGATAAAAAGCAGCTTCTTTCTCTTATTGGCACCACTAGGATAACTTCATTTCATGCTTAATGTTTTGACTACCACTTGGAGTTTGTTACGAACGCTCTCGCCTCTCTTCTTATTCTTATGCTTTTTTTTCTTATTTGGCAAACAACAGTTTGGTGCATTACTGCCACCAACTGGATTGGAGTGGAATGACTACCAGTCGCTTCCTGTTTGTGCATCGGGATCTTATAGGGATAGTCCATTGTGAGATTGACAGAGGGGTGCTAGTGGTCAGGGGTAGGGGGTCCCCAGGCGGCCGCCAAACTATGCCTAATGGTAAAACCGCCACTGGTGGTAGTCAGAGGGTGCACACCATTTATTTACCGACTGACATATATGTTGGCTTGTATTGTGGAGCCTTCTTTGGAAGAATAATATCGATATTATTACTTAATTATGGTATTGATTGGAACCCAAATGAGTAAACACTATTTAATTGATAAGAAGGAGTGGGTGACAATAAGTGCACTTCCTCCCACTTTTTTTTTATAGAATTGCACCAAAAGAAACATCTGCTGCCAGTCTTCATCGTGATTGGCCAAATCAGTGATGAACTAATCAGGACCTGGAGATCAGATTTAAAAAATGTGCCAGCCAGTGAACACACCCTGCAATAAAAATGTGACAATCATCCTGACCTGTGAATTCACCTTCACTAGCAACAACAGCTGTTTTTACATCCACAGTTTATATAAACATAGCATAATAATTGTAGTTTTTTTAGACAAATCACAGAACTAAAATAGGAAATCTGCATCAGATCTCACAACTAGACCCAATGACATATAGAAATACAACTGACTCATTACTGCATGAAGATTTCCTGAAAATTACATTTTGCTACATTGAAACTTGTATATATGTCGATGGGAGGAACACACAGAAGGGGATTGTTTTACACGGAGGGCACACATCGACATAACACAAGTACGAATTAAAATACCAAAAATGTTGGGTAATATGATCTATTTATTCACTTATTTATTAGAAAATCAGGATCCTTCCAACCTCTCATGACGGTTCGAACGGAGCGGATGAGGTTGAGAATCTGAGCTTTGACTCCTGGATCATCTCCAAAACCACCGACTCCCTGTTCGACACCCCAGCCGACTGGAGACACGCGCGGAGGAAAGTGCAGAGAAAGAGGATGACGACGATGTCAAGTTGCAGCAAGTTATAAAAAAAAGTGCATAAATAGCTTTATTTTAAAATCTTAACACATCACGTTTCGTTACACAGGCCGTTCAGTTTACCTACAGGCTGTTTTATAGCTAGCTCAACTCAAATGCATCGTTGCTTTGCGGCAGTAAACATGCTAAAGGTGACAGAACACTTACTTTTACTGAGAAATCTCTCTTCATGCAGCACTGCGACTGCATTAGTGCACAGAATAGCGGTCTGGATGAGAGTGTACAGAGTAAACGCCATGCTGGCAGATTTCTTCTTCTTCTCAGCCACCACCCTCCCAGTAGCACAGCTGCCGTAAAACAGCGGCAGATATCGTGCTAGCGATTTCGCTTTGTAGTTTAATGCTTGTAGTTTTTTAGCCTGGCCTGCCAGACTCGTCCTGTTAAATGCTGCACAGAGAAATATGCTTCCCATCACGGAGTATGGCGCTGGTTGAGCAGGCTAGTAGATTTTATTCAAGTGGTAAAAATTATTTTGATTTTTAAGTATGAAGGAAGAAAGAAAACGATATTTTATAAAGCGCCTCTCAAGATAAAATGCAAGTTTGTATACATACATACATACATACATATATATATATATATATATATGTATATATATATATATATATATATATATATACATATATATATATATATATATATATATGTATATATATATATATATATATATATATATATATATATATATATATATATATATACCCCCATATATATATATATATGTGTGTGTGTGTGTGTGTGTGTGTGTGTGTGTGTGTGTGTGTGTGTGTGTGTGTGTGTGAGTGTGTGTGTGTGTGTGTGTGTGTGTGTGTAAACATAAAAGGGACAAAAAAGTTAAAAGTTTAAACTCTGGAAATAAATAGCTCAAACAAATCAACTTGTTGCTCAGATTTTCAAGTAAACGGCTATTAGTGAAAAGTGACATCATTTGCATTTATCATTTCCTGTTAACCGCCATGCACAATGCAGAGTACACTGACTGGAGCAAATTTAAAATAAGTGTTTCAAAAATGATTGTTTTACAAAGTATTTCACAGGTCAACTTTTCCCAATTTCTATTTTTAATGTAGATTCCCATGACTCTGTCTGATACTTTGCCTTGTAGATGGATAAACTCATCTGCAAACTATTTATTGTTTTTTTTTTGTTTTTTCACTATCTTTGCTTTGAGGACTAGCCCATCTTTCTTAGAGCAATCAAACATCCAGATATTCCCAATAATGGAAACACATTTTTCTTTT